CTCTGCGCCAATCCCTGATCCAGGTGCAGTGGCCTTCCTTCACTGAGCTAACGTGCAGTGGATATGTGGCTCTCAGGGGTCATTAAAGCCATGGGGAGGAGCTGAGATCTCCTACAGGGAACCCCAGGAGTCAGGCACGTCTGCTCCAGAAAGCCACTGCAGGGAGCCCTGAAGGAGACTGAGCAATAGACACACGGAGGCATGCTCCGCTCACCATGTCACAAGGAGATACTTGGTGACAAACAGCAGAGATGTGTTTTTTTTTTTTTAATAGAAACTTTTTTAACATTTATTTTAAATTAAAAAATTGTTTAACGTTTTGTTTATTTTCAAACGTATACAAGAGAAAATAGAGTAGTAAATGAACCCCCATGTGCCTGTCACGCAGCTTCTCATACCAACTTTGTTTCGTTTAAACCTCTCCTCCACTCCTCGTGCTTGATTATTTTGAAGCAGATCTCAGATATCATATTCCATGGTAAATATTTCAAAATGTAGCTCTAAAAGACAAGAACTTCTTTTTAAAAAAACATAACCACAATACCATTATTACATCCAAAAAAATTAATTTTTTATATTTGGAGGTATATATATATATATTTTATTGATGTTTTAATAGTTTATAACATTGTGAAATTTGGGGTTGTACGTTTTTGTTTGTCCGTCACCAAATATATGTCTCCCTTCACCCTTTGTGCCCACCTTCTACCCCCGTTGCCCCTGGTAACCACCATACAGTTTTCTCTGTCCATGTGTTGGTTTATATTCCACATATGAGTGAGATCATATGGTGTTTGTCTTTCTCTTTCTGGCTTATTTCACTTAACATAATACCCTCCAGGTCCATCCATGTTGTTGCAAATGGGACCATTTTGTCTTTTTTTATGGCTAAGTAGTATTCCATTGTATATATATGCCACATCTTCTTGATCCAGTCATCAGCCAAGGGACACTTGGGTTGCTTCCATTTCTTGGCTATAGTGAATAATGCTGCAATGAACATAGGGGTGCATAAGCCTCTTTGGATTGTTGATTTCAGGTTCGTTGGATAGATTCCCAGAAGTGGGATAGCTGGATCATAGGGTATTTCTATTTTTAATTTTTTGTAGAATCTCCATACCGTTTTCCATAGAGGCTGCACCAGTTTGCATTCCCACCAGCTGTGTATGAGGGTTCCTGTTTCTCCACATCCTCTCCAACATTTGTTGTTTTTTGTCTTGGTGATTATAGCCATTCTAACAGGTGTGAGGTGGTATCTTAGTGTTGTTTTGATTTGCATTTCCCTGATGATTAATGATGTTGAACATCTTTTCATGTGCCTGTTGGTCATCTGTATATCTTCTTTGGAGAAGTGTCTGTTCATTTCCTCTGCCCATTTTTTGATCGGGTTGTTTGTTTTTTTGTTGTTCAGTTGTGTGAGTTCTTTATATATTATGGAGATCAACCTCTTGTCAGATGTATGTTTTGCAAATTTTCTCTCCCAGCTGGTGGGTTGTCTGTTCATCTTGATTCTGGTTTCGTTTGTCTTATAGAAGCTCTTTAATCTGATAAAGTCTCACTTGCTTTTTTTCTTTAGTTTCCCTAGTCTGAGTAGGCATGTTATCCAAAAAGATTCCCTTATGACCAATGTCAAATAGTGTGTTGTCTATATTTTCTTCTGTGAGTTTTATAGTTTCAGGTCTCACCTTCAGGTCTTTGATCCATTTTGAGTTAATTTTTGTGAATGGCGATAGCAGATGGTCCACTTCCATTCTTTTGCATGTGGCTGTCCAGTTTTCCCAACGAGATGTGTTTGTCTTTTACCTATCGAATCAGCAAGAATTAAAAAAAAACACTAAGCAAGTGTAAACTCTTCTACACTTTTGGTAGGAGGACCGTACATTGTTAAGGTGTTTTGGGAGAGGCTATTTAGAAATATGTGTCAAGAGCCAGAAAAATTTACCTGCCTTTAGGTCCAGCTATTTTTTTTTTTTTTCTGCTGAGGAAGACCGGCTCTGAGCTAACATCTGTTGCCAATCCTCCTCCTTTTTTTTCCTGAAAGCCCCAGTAGGTAGTTGTACATCATAGTTGCATATCCTTCTAGTTGCTGTATGTGGGACGCGGCCTCAGCATGGCTGGAGAAGTGATGCGTCGGTGCGCGCCCGGGATCCGAACCCGGGCCGCCAGCAGCGGAGTGTGCGCTTAACCACTAAGCCACGGGCCGACCCTAGATCCAGCTATTTTCTTTTGTGAATTTAGGAATGTATTACAGCATGTTATTTAATCCTGAATATGTGGAAAGGCTTAGACACAGGTCTGTCGTTACAGCATTGTTTATCATGGTGAATCATTGGAAACCACTGAAATGACTAAGTGTAGAGGATCAGTTAAATGAACGACCTCCGTATCTCTACAGCCGCCACAGGCCATTAACAAGGAAGACATAGGGATCTTTAACAACATGGAAAATATTCATGATACGTTTTTGTGACAAAAAAGAAAGTTATGAACTAATTTATAAGAAAAATGGATTGAGAGAAGATAGTTGCTATTTTTAAAACCAACAACGGGCCAGCCCCGTGGCTTAGCGGTTAAGTGCGCGCGCTCCGCTGCTGGCGGCCCGGGGTTCGGATCCCGGGCGCGCAACGAGGCACCGCTTCTCTGGCCATGCTGAGGCCATGTCCCACATACAGCAACTAGAAGGATGTGCAACTATGACATACAACTATCTACTGGGGCTTTGGGGGAAAAAAAAATTAAAACCAACAAGGGACCAGTTTCTAGAATAAACTCTTGCAAAGCAACAGGAAAAAGACAGGCAAGGAAAAATAAGCAAAGGTTATGAATAGGCAGAAGAGGAAATCCAAAAAGGCTGGCAAGTGTACAGAGATGCTCAGACTTGTCAGTCAGCTAGAGAAAGGCAAACTGAAGTCACAGTGAGGCCTCACTTTTCTTCAATCACACTGGCAAACATTAGAAAGCTAGGGGATGCCCAGTGGGGGTGGCAATGAGATGTAGGGGAGCCTGCGGGAGGAGTGTGGTCTGGCGCCAGCTTTCTGGAGGCATCTTAGCTGGTGGTACTTAGTTGAATTGGGCAAGCATATACCCTTGACTCAGCACTCTGCTCCTGCATTCATACCCAGAGCCAGCCACATGCAGCGCATGAGTGGACTGCATGGGAATGTCCAGGACAGGACTGAGTGCCGTACAGGAAGTCGTGGGCAATCTAGCCGTCCGTCACTGCAGAGCAAACAAGTCAAATAGGCACGTGATGCCCACTTTGTAACCCGGGGCAGCAGTTAGAGGAAATGAAGTTGACAAACACAGAGCCACGTGGTTAGGTCTGAAGGCATGATCCTGAGCGAGAAAGTAAGCTGCAGAAAAGATGCAAAAGGTCATTCAGAAAACTTAAAGTGTGTGCATTCAGGAGCTAGGCACCTGCACTGGGTTTTAAAAGCACCAGCGGAGGGGTGGGCAGGGTGGCGAAGAAGGGAGTGGGAGTGGGGAATGGAGGACCAAGGAATAAACGAATAGACCATCAAAGCTGGAGAGGAGCCTGGTCCAGGTCAGGGAAGAGACAGTGCAGGGACTGAGTGACGTGAGGCACCCACCCCCCAACCCAAAAAAGGAAGCCAAACCCCACCATGCCCCGGCCAACCAACCAACAAAAACAAAAGTATAAATAAAAAGCTTGCCTCAACAATATTTGAGTGTATTTTTATTACACAATATATTCATAGATAAAAGCTGGAGTACTGAATCATTTTTCTGGGTATGGGCAAGCTTGATATTCTTTCTGATATTTTGTTCCTTCCCAGTTTTCAACGCTGAACTTTATATAACTTTTGTAATCAGAAAATGATTTCTGAAAATGAAATTTGAGACTAATAACATGTGTGTTAGAAGAAGAGGCAGGGACTCCTGGAGTTAAGTATACAAAGAATGAGAAGGTTTCAAAGAGGGAGGGTGAGTCTGCCATGCTGATCTTTATCCATTCTAGCCTGCAAGGGCTATGTGTTTTGGCTAAAAATAAAGCATGACATATCCCTTGGCAGCTGTAGCACAGAGCAAAACTCTGATGGATCTATGTCTGTGTGTCCATCTGTCTGGTTGTCACTCCCTGATTGGTGATTGTTGGTCGCTGGCCAGATTCCGAGTGGACTTCTACGTGGTGACGTTGCGGTTGCGGAGGGCTTCTTGCAGGCAGCCTGGACATTCTGGTCCCTACTTGGAGTTTCCTGCACTCCCGACAAACCAACAATAAACAAACCTTTGTTGTGCTCTGAGCTAGTCATCAGTTGCTTAAAGAGTATGACAATTGAAAAGTCAAGGATATAAACAAAAGGACCTTCTTGAGGTTACCTATCTGGCAACTAGGTCTTTGGCTATTTTCATCACATTAAGTTCTTGTCCTTATGCCTACTGACCCGAGAACCCTGGGTTGCACAAATTGCTCCTGTGTGCACTGATAGAGGAGCTCTTTTAAGTTAGCATGGGGGTTTAAAGAGTCATTTTAAGCCAAGCAACATCTTCTAAAAATAGTGAATGTGAACCAAATAACGCTGAGAATGAAGAATCTATATCCTTTTAGACTCATGTGGTAGAAGGAAGTCACAGTTGAAGATATAGAATTACATGCCTCTGCAAATATTGGCGAGACCTTTACACCTCACTTCTATTTACTCAGCTTTGTAAAAGAGAAGCAGCATCAGGTAATAAAAAAAATAAGTTTTGGCGTTATAGGTTTGCATTTCAACTGAACGTCCAGCTGCCTGTGTGCCTTTGGCCCAGACAGTTTCCTCACTTATGTAGAGAAAATAGGAATACCCATCTCTTTCGTAAGAGAATCTGCGTAAAGAGCCCAGCACAGTGACTGGCACAAGTTAGATTGTCAACATGAGTCACATCTAAATCAGAATCTCTTTTCAAAAAAGTTTTCCTTCTTTTAGTAGGTTTCAGATTCTTAGAGGAACCATCTACAATAGGAACTGGACTGAATGAGTGCCATACCTTATCCCACAACCAGCCTCATCAGGAAGTGCTGTGACAGGGCTTTTCGTTTTTGCTTTTTGTTCTGAATTCAGATCTGCTTTGCTAAGGCATGGAGGCGGAGTATGTTTCAAAGGCTGAAGACAGAGCTGAGGATCAAGGTTCCAAAAATGAAGGCCAGCCCGATGTTGCTCAGCGTGACTTCCCACATGGAGGGCAGCCCCCTGGCCCCACTGCTCTCTGGGAGATGCTAGAAAGGAAGTTTCTGGAATACCAGCAGTTGGCTCACAGGAGCCCGGCTGAACGTCAGAAGAGCCTGTTGAGTCTTCTCCCACTCTTCCTAAAGGTCAGTATTTTTATTTTTGAAACTGTAAGACAATGACTCAGTGTTCTTGGGACACTTCTGGGATGATTGGTAGCTGGAGTTGGTGGTTTTAATATCATCACGAGTGGTCTCTATTCATTGCTTAGAGGAGTGTTGTACTGTTTAATAGAGATGGCAAGCAAGGCTCATTCCCAACTTGAGGAAGGGCTTGGAAAGGATGGACAGTTGACTCTGGAGTAATATTGTCTCTTTAGTTAAAAAAATTATATTGTTGAACCACAATCCCAACTTGTAAGCCAGAGAAGAGACCAGCTCCTTAGGGAGCTAGGAAAGGAATGTGTCCTGAGACATGAGTGCAGGGATGGCTGGTAACTGCAAACACCAGTAAAGTCAGCACTGGGGCCTGGGGGAGCCAGAGCATCAAACTGTGCCAGTGATGTAAATCGAGGTACAGTCACTAAGTAGCACCAGAACAGTGCTCTTTCCCCCGTCACAGGCGCATGAGAGAAGCCCAGCCTGTCCAGTGGGCTGACACTCTGGCTAGTGGCAGCTGGTGACAGTTGGGTACAAGGGATTTCCTTTGTTGTCTTGGAACAAAGCTCCTGCCAGTGAGGTCTGCCTTATAGTTGGATGTATTGAAGTCTAGTTGTACAGTTGGAAATGCACCTTTTTTTTTTTTTTTGGTGAGGTCCGATGCCAATCCTCCTCTCTTTTTGCTGAGGAAGATTGTCCTTGGGCTAACATCCATGCCCATCTTCATCTACTTTATATGGAACGCCACCACAGCATGGCTTGACAAGCAGTGCATTGGTGTGCGCCCGGGATCCGAACCTGAGAACCCAGGGCCGCCAAAACGGAGCAGGTGCACTTAACCGCTGTGCCACCAGGCCAGTCCCCGGAAATGCATCTTTTTATAAGGACTTAGTTTATGCTTGACTATTGATTTTGGGTTATTATTAAAAAAAAAAAGCACAGAGAATATGAGATACTTTTCACATTTGAAACTAGGCTAGGACAGATGGGGGCTTTGGCAGGTTTTTATAGGGAAACCCCTTTGTTAATTCATTTCATCTAACTTATTAACCAGAAATATTTAAAGATTTCCAAAGATGACTCAGAATCTTCTTGGGATCAGATTTATAGGATGCACTGAATACTCAGGCATGTCTTTCTGTAAAAAATTGCCAAGTAACTTACTGTCCATTAATTCATTATTTTCTTACATTGTTTGGACTTGTATACCCATCCATCCCATTTCACAGCTTGGATGGCTGGGGCATAGGGAACATAGTGGAAAAGAGGAACTAGTTTTGGAGAGATGGCTCAGGTTTCTCCTCCCAGTCTCCTTGCCCTGATGATCCCAGCTTCTGAGAGGAAGCTTAGTTTCTCCCAGTTCCCAGATCAGCTTTGCGTTATGGAAGGAAACATATGAGCAGCCCCCTGACCCCCACTGAAATTCACTTGGAATGTGTCCGAGTTCAGGCATTGCTGAGCTTCTGCTCCTGGACTGTTTCTTTCCTACCCGCCTGGGCAGCCCCGGCTCTGATGAAAGGAGGGCTAGATACTTCTTCGCCTCTCTCCAGATTGTTGATTTGAGGGGTCATGCATTTGTTGTACAGGTGTTTATTAAGCTCCTACATTCTGTTCTAGGGCCTTGGGCTATGAGAGCCAAGAAGACAGATAGAGGCTTTACCCTCATGGAGAGTTCAGTCCCGAGCAGAGGATACTGAATAGCACTCAGCATGTGACTTGTTTGGCTTGCAGGGGTTAAAAATGAATTAGTGGCTGCTTTTCCAAAGTGGAAAGTTTTCATGTGAAAATCAGATTTCCAGTTTCTCTTGAAAATTTTGGTAGATGTAATACTGACAACTGGATGGAGATGGTTAGGGGCACTCCTTTTAGACAGAAGCTGGTCTTGGTCCCTCAGTTTACCCCAGTCCCTACTCCCTGATACCTTTCACCCACCCCATCTAACTCATTTATTTTATCTGACCCTATATGCATTGGAACTTGTGATCACATGGAGAGCAAGCAGGTCCTATTATAACTGCACCTCCGTGTTGGTCCATGTGTCCCAAACCCTGTCCTGGTGATTGGAGGCATAATGGCCTGTAGTTGAGCACACGGGCTTTCGAGTCGTACAGAGCAGAGCTCAAGTCCTGGCTCCCTTGCTTATTAGCTGTGCGTCTTTGAGCAAGTTGCTAAACCTTGCTGAACCTCAGTTTCCTCATCTATGAAGTGGAATCAGTAACACTTTGCTGGGAGTTAGGGTGAGATGAGATGATGATTGTTAAGTCCACAGCACATGGGAAGCAGACATGGTTCCCATTCCCTTCCGCCAGCCTTCACGATACTCACTGCGCATGCACAGTTTGAGGTCCTGTTGCCACGACTCCCCAAACTGCTGACACAATCTGCTATGTTTTGGGTCCCTGGAGCCAGCCTCTGGTGCAGCTTGTAGAGGCAGAATATTATAGGCTTTTTATCATTTTCTTAAAATCTATATTCTTTTACTAAGTCCGACATGTCCACAAACCTGTTGTTCCTATTAGGTTTTGACTAATAAAACCCTGCTGGAGTCAGAGCCCCCAGGCCTCTTAATTAAGAGTTGGTATGGAAAGGAACATGGGAAGGTGGGAGGATTTTTTTTTTCGAATGTAGTGCAGATAAAATCTGAGCTGTAAATGAAGACTGGGGGCATCCATTGGCATACAGGTCCTTGTGAAAGAAATCAAGCTTGTAACCACTTTGTTCTGAATTTTATAACCATAAAACAGTGTTCTTCAAGGTCATTTATAAAGAATCCCCTTGGAAATATCAGGACTTAGAAAGTTGTGTCATCTCCTGTGGAATACGGCTGTTATCAAAGCTGTGTGCATGCACTGGTTGTCATGGAAACCACTCCGCCACTGGGCTCTGAGACACCCCCATGCATCTGAGTCCTGGACGACTTTGTTTGGTGGAGCTCAACTCTCTATACCTGGCTCTTTTCACTTTGGACCCAAGGAAAATTAAGATGATTTGGAATATTCTTTGTTTTAAGACAATGCACATAAGAGATTTTGAATTGTCACCCTTCCTTGGAAAGGGCTATGTCCCTGAGTTGTGGGATCTTGCCTAACTGGCCCAGACTTTTTTTTTTTGGGGGGGGAGGCAAAGATTGGCCCTGAGCTAACATCTGTTGCCAATCTTCCTCTTTTCTTCTTTTTTCTCCCCAAAGACGCCAGTACATAGTTGTATATCCTAGTTGTAGGTCCTTCTAGTTCTTGTGTGTTGGGCGCCACCTCAGCGTGTCTTGATGAGCCGTGAGCAGGTCTACGCCCAGGATCCCAACCTGCGCACCCTGGGCTGCCAGAGCGGAACTCGTGAACTTAACTGCTGCACCACCGGGCCGGCACCCGGCCCAGACTCCTTATCAGTCAGAGCCAGCGTGGCAGGGGCGGTCCACGCACAGTTAGGGCTTGGGTGAAGGCTGGCAGCGGTGCGTGCGCTGCCTCAGTGCCCTTCACGTGCTTCCGCCTAGTGAGACTTCGGATTTGACAACAGTGGGGTCCTGAGGAGCAGACTCCCTCAGAGCCGCTTCTTTGGCGTCCTCTTCCCGGAGAACTTCACTCCAGCCTCTTCGGCTTTTTCTCACATCTGGTCCTCCACACCCACAGCAGAGGACGGACTTTCCGCTGATCCCTGTCATTGCTTATACGTAAATCTGTGTTAACTTAGGCAGGTGCAAAGATGGGCTTAGTTGGTTCTGTAGTAAATTCCAGCCCCATTGCCTCCGGAGTTGAAGAACAACTGAAACAAACACATGGATAAGGAGAACAGATTAGTGGTTACCAGAGGGGAGAGTGGTGGGACGATGGCAAAAGGGGTAAAGGGGCACATGTGTATGGTGACAGATAAAAAGTAGACTATTGCTGGTGAACACGATGCCATCTATACAGAAACTGATATATAATAATATACACCTGAAATTTATGCAGTGTAATAAGCCAATATGATCTTAATAAAACAATTTAAAAAAAGGAGTGAACCCACTCAACATTTTGGCTTCCGTCTTGGTAACAAGGAAGAGCGTAATGGAGTCTCAGGGCATTGGAATCCCAACAAGGAGCTGCCCTGCGGGGAGGGGGCAGGAGCGAAGTTCTCACCCAGAACTGCAGGCTCTCCTCTTCCACCAGAGGCCATCAGTCCTCTTCACAAGTCAAAGAGCAGTTCTTAGCCAGAGCGAGTGGCCACTTTCACTACTGATAGCTAGTAATATTCACCAAGCTCTAACTAACTAAACCAGGCATTTTGTTTAGTGTTTACCAGTCCTCATAATAACCTTGTGAAGTGGGTGCTATTTTTATTCCAGCTTTATAAATGAGGAAAGAGGTTTAGAGATGTTGCATAACTTGGTGAAGGTCACCCAGTTGTTAGTGCCACGTGGAACTTAACCCTGGCAGTTGACCCCAGGCGTGTGTTGTTAACCACTGGGCTCCCTCAGGGAGTGCTGGGATTTCTTTCCCTATCCCATGACTCACTGGACAGTGGCTTTGCCTGGCTGGCACCTACGTTGCCCTTGGGTACAAAAAGCATGCCACCCCCCACACATGTGACGTTTAGGTAGCTGACTCCAGGATGTCGCAGACAAGGTTGAGGTTTTATTGCATCAACAGGAAGCAGCACAGAGCCAATGACTTCTCAGTGCGCAGAGCAGTGTTTTCAGGAAGGATTCAATTGACTGTTCTTCTTTTCCTGTCAAGAGCCTTGGGCTTTGGTCTTTCTAGGACCCCTCCTATTGTAGGATCTCACACCAAGAGCAGGAGGCATTCCCCTAGCAGGCATGTGTAGATCCTGCTGGCCTCTGGTTGAGTTTGCTTTGGGAGAAAGGGAACCACTTCAGGTCCTCACATTGCATAGAGATATTTGGTAATAACAGACATGGGAAAGCTAGAGCTATTGATGTAGTTGTTGAAGATTGTTCTTAGAATATGTACTTTGAGAGGAAACAGGCAATGAGATAGGGAATCCCCAGAGAT